TACATTGCTTAGGCATATGATGCATTCCAAAATAGTCTCGCCGACTGATTTATAATATTAATTCTCTGCTGGTACGTACTGATGTTGAGATCCACATTTTTTTAAACTCATTAGCTTTCACAATGTGTTTCAAGAACTTACTAAGTTTCCAGAAACTTCTAGAATCCTCTAGTCAAGGCAGCAGTTACAAATTGTGAACCACAAACTGGGAGTACAAGGGTGAGAAGAATGGGAGTGAGATAATAAATACCAGCTTCCAGTCTATTGTTTCTTTCTAATTGCAGTGGAAGAATACTGATGAAGATAGCAGTGTGTTTCTCTTGGAGTGTACAATTTATTGGCAGAATGTGTCACTTGAGCTTACTTTAGCTTCAGGACACCTTGACTGATAGCGAGATTCATGCAGTGTGATGTTCCTCAAGCACTGTTGGCTGAAGGAGGTGCGTTGAGTCAGCATTATGACAAGAAACAGAAAAACATACTGGAATTTCTTTCTGTCATTAGGCTCCTTCTCCACACACTAACTCCACAGTTTGATGCCCCCAGGTTATGACTGAAGACAGTGGGCCCTTTTGGGACAGGGAACTTCTGGTAAAACTCAACACCCAAATTGCCAACTACAAAGCCTTCATGGCTAAGTATTATTTTAATTTATGGAACACAGTCTGAAAGTTCTCCTCTTTCCTTCCACAGGACAAGCAGGAGGACTTTAAAATGATGATTTTGGAGGGAGTGGAGATGGCCAAGCATCAGGTGAGGGTGGCCTTTGATGCTTGAGTTGTGAAACAAAAACTTATTTGTTACCACCTGATGCTCACAGCCATGTGTGGTATCTGGATTTCAATAAGAAATGGAAAAGGGGATAACTCTCTTCAGAGGCAGAGTTATGGATATTTGGATGAAGACAAAAGAATAGAGTCCTAAATACGTCTATTTATGTAGATGACTACAGAGGAGAAGTGTATTTTTGTTCAGCCAGCTTCTCTAAGTAAAAGGGATTTTAAGAAATAGATTTGCAAAAGGAATACAACCATCATAGGATTTAAACAACAAAACTGCTTCTACCACACATCAGAAACCAAGCACATACCTATGTTCTAGTCTCTGTGTCAAAGTACCTGTCATTTACCTATCAGACAAATTAGTGGAATCTGCTTAGATACCAAGGTGAAGAAATGCCACAGAAATGACATAGATGGATTTGTACTTCATTGATCACATCCAGACCAATTAGTGTAATTTGCATAGATGCACTTTGGTTGATCACTTCCAGCACTACTCCACTAATGTTTGTAATGAGTAAATGGTGGTGATTATTTTTGGAATAACCCCATCCACAAGTGTCCACCTTGAAGCAATACTCTCAAAATCAACATTGGAAATTCCCTTCCTCTCTGAATACAATGCTAATGAACACTGTGAAAAAGTGTTGTTGTTGTTTTAATCAATAATTTAAGTTTTAAACCTATTTCTCTAGCTGCACTGACGAGATGAAGTTAAGTTATGACTTGGCCAAAGTACTATTTTTTTTAAAAAAAGGCATGGGGTCAGCAACTCATTCTGTATTAGAATTCTGGATCCTTCTTGCTCTGATTTGTTACACAGCCTGTTTTTACTCAAGAAATTTTACCAAGTAAGTGACACAGTTTTAAGTTGTATCAGAGAACTAAACAGTTTCACTGCTGAAGAAAAATACTAAATAGAATATATTGTCCTGCATTTGAAGACTTTTATATATAATGGAGATGTCCCCCTAGGTCTTAGTTTCAAAAAGATGCTTAATGTTATTTAAAGGGTAAAAAATATGTTGTTCATAGAATATAATACTTTGAATAAATCTGTAGTTACCCAGGGGCTGAAATGTGAGTAAACAGTAAGTAAATCTATTCTCACACCTCCTCTTTTAATTTTCACATTCCCTGATGTTAGGGGCTTCTCACATTGCTCTCATGCTGTCTGCTCAGGTCCCATGGTGTTTCCTTTGATAACTCTCCAGTCTCCACTCCTTATTCTGAATGTGCTACAGCCACAGTGAGAGGGGAAGCACAGATCAGAGGCATTTCAAGACATGATTCATTGATGTGATGCTTTTCCTCTTCCTCCTTCCCTCAGGAATAAGCACCAACTACTGCTACAACACAGCTGGGTACAGCTGCTTTGTGGTAGAAGGAACACTGCCAATATACTATACTGGTCCACGTAGAGCAGTGTGCAGCCACATCCTCTTAAGTGTTAGCATAGTCATGGTCATTTTCTAGCTTAGGGTATAGTTATGATGGTAATTTGGATCAAAAGGGGAACTGATGGTTAAAGACTACAATGTAATGCACAGTAAGTATTACAGTGATTAATGCTATAAAAAACCCTAAAGGAGGGATATATACACATATATGCACACACCCTTTAAACTTTTGGCTTATGACTGCTGCCTTTAGTGGTAGGGTTCCAGAAATTTCTTCTGTCAAACAATGCCCAAAGCACATATACGTAACCTAAGTTTGTGGACAATGTCTTCTGAGACACACGCATTTCAGGTAAGTAATTTAACTTTCATGCTCTGAGAAATGTCTGTTTAGACTCTACATGTCAGACTATAAAACATTATTATAGAAATAAATCTTTGCACAGCTGATCTCCTGAAATATCAGGACTGTTGCTCTCCAATAAAAATGTTTAATTTTATTTTAATGTCTCTCTTCTGGGATTTGTATCTTCAGTAATATTGGCAACAGGCTAAGATAAGAACACTGATGCCAAAGAACAAGTCTGCTTTAGTAGATGACTTAGTGAATCTCCAGGGCAATATTTAAAATCTGTTCTGCTGGTAGCAATGTACTGAAATGTTTTAATCTCTTAAATTTTCTGCTTGTTCTATGCATTTTGCTTTTGTTCTGTACTAGTTCATATTTATCTGTATTTACAGAAAAACCCAGAGGAGGACAGCTCAGGGAAAACATTAAGTTGGGAACCAGGTCATTTGCTGTTAACCATCTATACCGTCCGCAGCATTGAGCAGCTTCTCCCTTTCTTCAATGTACTCAGCCAGGTTTTTAATAGCAAAGTCACAAGCAGATGTGTTGGACACTCAGGGAGCCCTGTTCTTTACCCAAATTCTTTCCCCAATAAGGACCTAAAAATGGAGAACCAAAAAACATTCTACAGCAAAGCAAGGCAAAAAATTGAAGAGATGGTTGAGAAGGATTTTCTGGAAGGTGTCATAAAAACATGAACTATACATTTAAGCTGAGTCGTACCAGTTAATGTAATTGTTTAAATGAAATGCTGTATCTTTCAGCGTTGTATAGTTTTCTTTCTTACTCTGTATGTAATGAACATTTCAGGTTATATTTAATTTAAATATTTGTAAATAAGAGACCAGTTCTGGATGTAGCCTGAATCAAGTTTAAATATTGTTGGCTCATATTGATTATGGTGCCTAATATTTACAGTATCTGTGTTTTGTTGTCTTGAGTTCTGTCTTTAAAGAAAAAAACTACAAAATACAAGTTGCACATTTTTCACTTTGTTTCTAGTTTATCTTTGTGTTCACAGTTTCTCTAACCCATTGGAAGTTGCTGACACACTTTTTCTCAGCAATCGTTAAACTGGCACTTTGCTAGTTCTTTGAGTGATGGTCACTATTATATTTCACTTGGGTTATGCATATGTACTATGTGCCTATCCAAAGAGTTTATATGGCATTAAAATGAAAGGTGCTTTGCCTGTGCTGAAGCAAGTATTATCTAATCAAACACATTACTAAAATACTTCAGTTCTATCCATTAAGCCCAGACATTTAAAGGACTAAGTTATATTCCACTGTGCAATAGTATATGCCACTCAATATTTCCTTGAATCACATGAGAAATTTGTTATGAAATTGATTCATCTGAGCTGTGACTTCTCACAACCATATCCCTAAGCTTCACTTTATACACATTCTAGAAAGTCTCAGCTCGAACAGATTTTCTTCAGGGAGTAAGGGGAAAATAAAATTGATACCAGCAAATGTTGAACAGCAGCTTCTGTCCTGTGGCTGTGGTTTGGAAAGACTATCCTTTGAAAAGACTGTCCTTTGATAGGGACAGATTATAGTTCTCATCCTACTGCAGTATAAAATGTGAGCACAGAAGTCTCAAAATGAGGGACAACAAATTGAATTCCATGTGAGTGATGTCTTTGATTTCCAGTATTAAAGAGTAAAATAATATCAGGCTGGGAGGAGATAGGTAAACTCGGACCTAAATGTTACAGCTGTATTATTACAGTTGAGATTTATTCCAGTATGTTAGTGTTTTCTGCTATGTGGTTACAGTCCTTTACAGAAAGTTATTTGTATAATACAGCTGGAGGACAGGTACCACATCTAGGAAACAGTGGTCTCTAAAAAGTTTTAGAGGCCAGCGCTGGCACTGGTTAACAGCTGAAAACAGCAACATAAGGTCTGCTCACAGTCAGTTAAAATGGAAGTGACTACACAGTAGCTCAGCAAGTGTAGAACCATACAAGTGTATGATATGTCTGTATATTATTTTGGCCACTAGGCAGCCAGAACCCAGATGAATAAATCCTTGCAGAAAGCAGGATTCTTGTACAAGTCAGTGTTCTGCCTACTCACAAAATTGAAGCACACCACACAAAGGGACAACATACTATAACCAACCATTTATTGTGATGCTGCTATCCAGCACTGATAAGCAAGGTAATAGTTCTGTCTCCTTGGCAGCAGTCAGTGAGAGGGTTTTCACACTGTCTTACTAAACAGTCAGTTTAGGATAGCAATGCAGCCAGGGGGCAGGGTACCCACAAACTGGGCATTACGAGAGCTGGTTTTTATTCCCTGGTTGATTAGATGGAGCATGTCACTTAACTCCAGTTATGTTATTGTACTTCAGCAGAAGTAAAAAGGTCCAACAAGGCTTAAAAAACCCCAATTCTCTGAGCAGCAGGAGTGTCCCAGTAAGGATAAGGTATAAGAATACTCCACTTTAAAAAAAAAAAAAAAGTGGAAGGTTTGATTTGTTATTGCTGACATGTTAGGTTCATGCTAAAGGAAAAAAAATAAAAATAAAGAAATCATGTTTAGGTAGCATGACCACAGCTGTGTCCTTCAACATACAGGCTGAGGTGGTTCTCCTATTCCACCAGCTAGATGGTAAACAGCCAGGCTTACTTCATGTGCAAGGGAATCTGCATTCTCCTATAGATTAAAAAAAAAAAAATAGTTTACTATATTGTAAGCATTGTTCATTTTATCTGAACCTTAACATTGATGTGTTTGGGGCAGGTTTTTTTTTTTTTTTTTTTGGGGACATGCATGTAGTGCTCATAGGAGGCTGTTCATTTGAGGCTCACACGTCAGTTAATGTTATCAAGCAGCAGTATAATTATAGCAATACAAACTTTCCAAAGATGCC